TGCATCAATTCTACAACCACCAAAACCGAGTCCTTCCCACGTTACACCCCAGCCACGGTGTAACATTGGTGTCAGAAGTGGGATTGCAGGAGCGATCCCAGGGAAGAGACTCACGAAGCCGACAAGCAACAAAATCTGTAAGTAAAAAACAGATACTAAAAAACCTGTCTACTGGCACGACCATAGACAAAGCACAATCAGCGTGACATATATTGCCGCTGATCCGCCGTATACGCCGATTGAAAGCAAGCCGTAGCACATCAGAAGCCGGTATTGCAAAAGGCGAAAGAAAAAACGGATGGAATTAAGACGCGCAAAGAATTGCACGAACTCCCGCGTCGCATAAAAATACACTGGAGGAGAGATCCGGAACATCTACTGCCAATTTCACGAGTGGACAACGCCGTAGCAGCTTTAGAGGTGCCACGGACCTGACCACCGACAACGCTGACGCCGCATCGCAGAATATAAGGCCACCGCCGTAACCTGAGCCGAGCCGAGCGCCGATAAAGACCAGCCGACCAGCCGGACAGCGAAAACAAGCCACCATGCGAGCGAGCGCCGTATTGTAAGTCTGTACATATTAAGTCGATATCTGCGTATGTCAAGCGATCGACATTATCACCGTCACTCATCGCCGTACGTGGCCTTTTCGGAACCGTGTAAAATTTATAAATACCGTACCCGAATTAAGTAGAGCCGCGGAAGCGCTACCAGACATACGAAATAGCGTGCGCAGGATTTTAAATTTTCCTGTCGAGGGCGAAACAGGGTCACCCATACACGTAACTCGCGAACGCGAATTTCCAATCGCCGCGAACGACTTTAGTTTACTCGGGATAAACGCCACAGGCGAATTTGATACCGAGTCAGACGAACGGACGGAACAAAGACGTAGACTGCAATTTTCGTACGATATACAAGAAGACAACACAACCGGAACAGACATGCTGTCACGCACTCCTATCAAATCTCCACAAGCGGGAACATCTTCCGCAGGGGCGGAAGACGGAACACCGCATTCATACGATTTAAATGGGCAAACGGAAAATGCTCGAACAACTCGCCGCGTCACCTTCGGTGACGAAATAGCTAGCCTAAGCACTGGCGACGGCATGACGATTCTAAACGGGGCAGCCGGTGCGCAAGATAACGCACGGGC